TTCCAGCAAGCGGGACTGGCCTAGGGGATTTTATAGGGGTTTTAATTACTTTTAAATTTGACATTCTCAAATATTTCATTTTAATCAAATTTTAACTAGGTGTAATATGTTAGCTTTTTATCATTTGTCAGCCGCCCTGAGTCCGAAAGGAGAAGGGCGGGATATAAATACAATTAATAAATAAATAAATAAATAAATACTGTACTAAATACTAAACATACTAAATACTGTTTGCCCCATAGAGCTAGTGGATTTTACCTGCTGACCAGGAATTGCTCATTTTTCTTTCAATTTTTTTCATCCCTGTGATAGGATTGGGATATTGATGAATACATTGTGGACAACAGCGCTGAAAAACCTAAAGACTGGGATGATGCAGCACAGGGCACCTGGCAGCCTCCTCTGCTCAAGAACCCTCTCTACAGGGTAAGGCACCACTTTTTCATGTTTTGAGGCGAACTTTGGGGAATTGGGTGGCCATTTGGGCAGCCAATACTGAGAACATTTGGTTTCTTTCAGGGGGAGTGGCGGCCCAGGAAAATCCCAAATCCCAACTACAAAGGCATTTGGGCCCATCCCCAGATTGCGAACCCTGAATATGTGCCAGACCCAAGCCTTTCTATTTATGAGAACATCAGCGTCATTGGTCTAGATCTTTGGCAGGTCAGCTGGGCTTCTTCCTGGTTCGTATGTTAATTGGGTGCCATCTTCATTGGCTGAAGTGAGCAGATTCCTGTTTGCATGAAAAAGAATTAGCAACGTAGCTGTTGATTCAAATGTATATAAACACGATTGTGTTCCTTAATTGCAGGTGAGATCTGGAACTATTTTTGATAATTTTTTGATCACTGATGATGAAAAGTATGCAAAGAAATTTGGTGATGAAACATGGGGCAAAACAAAGGTAAGAATGATCTCTTCTCTGGAATGCAGCCAAGGCGTAGATTCCTTCTGTGGTTGTATTGTTCTTTTATTACTTGACCCTTTTCTCAAAGAGCTATTTTTGCTTAGATGGCTGCTATTGGAACAGGGAATCCACTATGATTGTTCTGCAGGTTCCTTTCCAAAATAGCCACAGCCACACAGTAAAGCTGTTTGAGATGGCTTTCCCAGTATACCTGGATGGATGCTGACAGTTTTCTCACCTGGATGAGAAAATAAAAAGGGAGCCTCTTTGCTCTGTCCAATGGCAGCAGCTGTTGCACGTGGAACCGGAGCCCGTTCCGCCTGCAGCTTGTTCTTCCAGTTGTCATATTAGGTTAGTTGGGAGGAAACAGATCAAAGAAAATTCCTGCAAGGGAATAGATTTGCCCAGCTGGATATCTGAGATGACAGCAGGTTTCCTTAAGGTGATCTTTCTTTTTCCACTTAAAATTTCCAGAAGCCAGAAGAGGCAATGAGCAAGAAAGAAATAAAGAAAGAAAAGGAAAGGAAACAGAGAAAAACCCAGAAGATGCCAAAAAAGAAACCACCTCAAAAGAACAAATCTGAGAGGATTGTAGCGCAGAAGGAGGAGCTCTGATTTTTTTCTCAGAATTTAAATTGGAGCTAACAAGTGGAAGATATTAAGGGCTGGGGACCACGTTTGATTAAACAGATACCTTGGAAAACCGTTTGGTTTCAGCTGAGAATGATATCAAAAGGTTTTTGTTTTTTTTAGTAAAGTCAATTGTTGACAAAGAGAGTCCACAATTACTTAGTTTCCCTATCTCCATCATTCACCAGCAAAGACCCGTTTGTGTGAACCCAGATCGTTCACCAGCAAAGACACGTTTGTGTGAACCCAGAAGCAGGCAGAGGGCAGTAACTCTCCCAAATTATCTCTGGGGCTCGGGGGTTGCACGGGGAAGGGTGTGTGTGTCTCATTGCTATTTCTGAATTACCCCAGAAATCCTTCCTATGCAAAAAGTGGAGAAGGAGGGAGAAATGTCCCTTTCTAGCCTCGGCAGTCTTCTAGACCAGGGCTTTTCAACCGGTGGTACGCATACCACCTGTGGTACTTTGGCACCTGGTAGGTGGTACGCGACCATCCTAGACAAGTGTAGCAGGGGAGGGAAATGAGCTGAAGTGGCGGCAGCACCGCACAAGCCTGAGGGAGAGACAGATGGAGCTGCAGGGCTGTTGGGGCTTGGCAGAAGCCCCAGGATTGGTGCGCGCAGCTACAGCTGATTGGCGCTTCTGCAGGGTTATGGGGGCTGGGCAGGAGCCCAGGATCAGCGCGCGCTTCTGCAGGGCTGCAGGGGTGAGACAGAAACCCCAGGATCGGCGCTTCCGGCACACATGGAAGAGAAAAGAGGGGGAGAGAGGAGAGGCTATAAAACATTTCCACCCCAGGCCACCCCAACGATGCCCTTGACGTGATGGCCCGTTGCCTGGAGGCCGTACGGGTCTGGATGGGGAGGAACAGACTCAGGCTCAACCCTTCCAAGACCGAGTGGCTGTGGTTTCCGGCGCCTCGGCATAGTCAGCTGATGCCATCGCTGACTATAGGGGGCGAAACCTTGGCCCCCTCAGAGAG